AATGCTATTTATTAGAAAATATGCGATCCGTTCCCTATATCACTTGCAAAAAATTGCTGAAAGAAAATTACGTTTACGTCATGAATTATACGTGTAGTACCCACAACTTTTAGATAGAATTATATTAACCTGTATAACAATGCGAGCCATAGTTGGACGTGAAAAACGCTTGAATGGACTCTGCTTTCTAATATCATTTAAATTTTGCGAAAGTAGTTGCATAATTATATAATTAACTCTTTCTGTGGAACCACTTGCCCAAAGTAATGGTACGTGGACTCGCCCTTGTAATCGTAACAATACCTTTAAGAGAATTTTTTTTGGTGAGTAATTATTAAAAATCGAAATTAAAAATTCTCCATGAAAATAATTGAAATAAGTATCAAATGATAACTTTTTGTTCCAAAATCATTCGCTTAGATAGTCGACCTTTACGCATTTTAGGTTCACTTTTTATGGCTACTCCTTGAGTTTCTTGACCCAGATTATCTGTTGCAACAAATATTTGACCATAACCACCTCGGCCTATCAATCCCTGAAAATGATTCATTTTCAAAACACCTATTCATCACATGTATACTTTAACTAATTAAGTTTTGTTGATGCCAAATTCATATCATCATATTCTATTATCAACTTATTGAAAGTGTCTATCTCATTTATCATTTAATTTTTATCAGAAAAAACAATCTAGTCTTTCTAGTTTCACTTCTATTTTATTTTTCATTAATAGAGACGAGATTAAGACATCAGAAACAACATCTTCTATATGTACTAAGATTTTCACAAGTGCGAACATTTACGACCCATCGATCTTGGACAATATCTCCAATTTTGAATAAAGATTCTGCTGTACTTCGCTTTTTTAGTTTCGGATAAAGACGAGCAAGATTCCTAAGTTTGATTCTTTGCATGCCATGATGTTTATTATTAATATGAACAATCATACACTTTAAAATATAAATAACACTTAGCAATGAAACTCCCTTATTAAATTCATTAAATTTAATTTAATTACTGTTTGATTTACTAAATCTAGTTCAACTCGTTGAACTTTACATTCACACCTATTAAAGTTCAAAGGCTAAAAATGATTGCAAAAACAATGTAATGTAATCGAAATTTTAAAAGCAAACACTTTTGAACTTAATTTTTTTAAAACAACTTTAATACTGAGAAACTGCAAGTTGCAATATTAACTACTTTTTCTCAACTAGCTTTTAAATTTTATTAGCAACGCATGCGCATGAGTGAAAGTTACCATAAAAGCGCTTAAGTTATAATATTTCCAAGCGTCTTTTTTCTTTCAGCAAGTTAAAATAAGTCAATAAAATCGTACTTTGGATTCTTTTGCGACATAGAAACTTGCGTAATGCTTGTATGCAGAGTCGCAGACATTATTGAGGCATTGAATCCCCCAGATCGCCTCCTTGAAAAATACCACTTTACCAAATTCAAACATTAAAAATAACTGAAAGGCTTGAATTTTTCTTACTTATAATACGTTAACAGTAAAATTTTGCATTTATCGAACGTTTATTTTATTATTCTAATTAAAACCGTTTTATTTTATTATTATAATTGAATTTTTTATCTAATTTAAAACACTAAATAGTGGCTGTTTTGCCAGTATTTCAGTTAATATATTCTTCTTTTCAACATTGAAAATAGAAATTAATGGGCAAAATTTTTGAAATGTATGCAGTGGAAGATAACAGTTCTTGGCTTTAAAAAATACAAATGCTTACTTTTAATTGATAAAAGTTTATATAAATTTGTGCCAGGACTGTTCAAATAACTTATTTACTCTGTAAGATAAATATAAATTCTAGGCATTTGAGTCTACGCACTAGCAAAATATTTAATACAGTAAGATAAAGCCAGGATTTCTAAAATTAGTACCACCTTAGCTGTTACTTTTACTGAAATTATTGTTGCTAGAAACTAATCTTATTCTTAATAATATTATTTGTGATAAAAAATGATAATTATATACAATGACTAAATTGCAGTTAAATTCATTTTGTCTTTCCAATTTAATTTAAATTTCTCTAAAACCTTTTCATGCGTATCAGTGTAATCTCTTTTTTTATTTTGTTTATTTTAAAATATAAAAAATAATCGAAGTTTATTTATTATTATCTACTGAAGTCATTAACAGTTATTCTTATCAATAAATTGTTTATTCAGTGAATTTGCTAAAAGTGTAACTGGCCAAGATTTTCAGTACAATATTGTTGTCATTGTAGAGGAATGCATACAAAATAATAGATGCAACAACTGAATATCCAATTTGAACAGTTTAGCCAGAATTTCGAACAAAGTACTCATTTTGACTGACGCAAAAAGCAATTTAGATTTTGTTAGTTATTTATAAGCAATTTTTCTCATATTGTAAAATTCAAGCACATTCTGATAAAATCATCAATTTAGATTTTTAAACCAATTAGTTCATTAGTACTAATTTGTATAAATGTGATCATGTCAAATACTTCCGAGTAACTTTCTAAGTAAACTAATCCAAAGCCAGTCGATTATTATTTGAAATATATGTTATTTTACGCAAACAAATTAACTTTATTAAGCAATATCTGATGACATTTATTTTAAAATACTGATATTAACGAATTTTTTCGCTCCTCAATTATATATCACGTAATTATACATATTACGTCAATTCATAACTATGTATCACGTTGCGGATTGAATCAATATTGAAAAAATTGATAAGGAGTCAAAGGTTGTTTGAGATTTAACTTGCTAGTAGAGTTTTCTAGTCTACGAAGTGCATGTGCTATAAGACTATACTTTTTGCAGTTTTTTTCTTTCGTTCTTCAATAAAAACTTTTGAGCTTAATGATTTCTACGCTTATAGATTCTACGGCTTAAAACATTGGTCAAGTTCACGAGAGTTATTCATAATTATTAGAGATGCCAGTAATTATTCATCAAAACTTGACAATTAGAAGTCATAAAAATTCAATGAAAACAATTTTATCGTCTTTAGTATAAAGTTGCTAACTGATAATAATCAGTGGTAGGATACAAGTTTGCAGTAAGCATTAATAATCTCATTTTTTAATTACACGTTATGCACTTTTGAAAAATTAGAGAAAAGTAATGCAATAACAACTTTAATCTGTTTGGTGAAAAAAATTGCGTGTCAACTAATATTTGTTTTGAAGTGAATTTCAGAGGCTTAAACGTACATAAATGATAATAGAAGCATAATAGTCTTCAAAAAAACTGATTACTTTATTGATAACATGTTTTTTATGATTTTAAACTATTCAAACAAGCATTAATTCATCAAATTCATATGTCCTTACGAGTCTACGAATTTGCTGACTTTCTTCTAAATATATATCTCTCTTGTTTGCATAACAATCAACTTAAAATTAAAGGTTTTTGTGAAAAAAAATTCCAAATTCTACAAAATATTAGAATTCTAAACACAATGATACACATCTTGACAGTAACAGCCGATTATTGGAGATGAACTTTCTTCATTTGCTAGAATGAGAAAGTTCGTAACAGAATGTTATCACCGAAGTGAAATGTATGCAGAACGTCAACAACGTGAAGCTGGTATAAGAACGTAACAACTGGACGCTAGTATAGTAAATTACTCAGATTCCAACTCCTCACCTTCTTCTTTCTCAATTTACGTTCCGATCTTTTCTGACTGCTTAACTACTACCATTTCTACTTGTTCCTTTTTTAGAACGAAAACAATTTATATTTGGGATTAATTTCTTGACGAATGTCATGCTCTGATTATAAATGCTATTAAAATGCTGGCGCAATTAAAAAAATAGTTATAAATCAGTGGAAAAAATTCACAGTAGATCATGTTAGTCAAACTTTTAAAAACAAGAATTAGGCGGTTTCCTGCAGCCATCATTTTTATAGAATTTACTTTATTTTATGAGATGAGATAAGAAATGGTAGAAAAAACTTGATGACCTAAGCGACTTAAGCTCATTCATTATACTGAGTTTACTTCCAAGTTTTGTTTCAAATAAATTTCAGAATGGATCTTTTCATCGTTCTTTTTCTGGCTATATGTTCGGTTTACGCTTACGGATTACCTAATCTTCGCTCTATTTGGAATATTCATCAAATGACAGAATGTTACTTCAATAATAATGGTATTATCCTTCTTAATTATGGCTGTTACTGTGGTGCGGGTGGATCAGGCGAACCCATCAATGAAATTGATAGGTTAACATTTTATCCATCATTTCTTATCTCAACTCCTATCACTATATCCTCCGTAATATAGCTTTTTCTTTGCATAACTTTAATACATAATAGTTTTAATACAAAAAACAAATTTATTCCAAATAAACTCACCTTTCCCTTTTTCAGTTTTTCATAAATCCTCTGATTTTGCATCACTTACTTATTCACTTTGTCATAATTGAATTAGCTGAACAATAATAATATTGCAAAAATCATAACTCAAAATAGTGACACTCATTTATTACAACATGTTAACCTGTCATCTCGAAAAAAGCAATTTTAATTAATAATTGAAGGGGTAAAGTTTCGTCTCACTTTTCCTGTAAACAAACACCATTGAAATTTTTTTTAAACTTATAAAATTAACTTTAATCTTTTCTTAACAATTAACTGATAGATTGGAATTGGAAATACGTGAAAAAAAATCCCTGAAAAGATTCTATTCCTGTACTAGAACAAACTTTAAGTAATGTTAAGATTCCTTCTTGTTTGATAAAACAGATTGATATAAGCTTAGATGTTGCATGGCTCACGATTCATGTTATGACAAGGCGATTAGTGATCAAAAATGCCTAAATGTACTGAGCATGTATGTAGCCAGTTATCATTGGAATTGTGATAATCGCATCGCAACATGTGAAAGTAAGCTTTTGGGTAAAAGTACTTTCAAAATTGAAAATAATATATTAATAAAATTCCAAAATCATCGCAAGTATCTTTGAACAATACTTTTACAAAACATTATTCATTTATTTGGCATAATTTCTTAGTTACTAATAATTATCTTTATTGTTTATTGTTTAATTTTAAATTTGCTTGTTAATTAATTAAAAACAGAATTTTTAGCTTCCCTTATTCAAAACTTTACCATTTTTGAGTGTAATAAAATCGTTCAAAATTACTGTTGACAAATATAAGCACTTCTATTAAAAAAATTTTAGAAATTGTATGCAAATTTTATTCGTCATAAATAAGGTAAGATTACTGTCTGTTTTTTTTTTCGACAGCCAACTCAGATGAGTGTAACAATGTTGCATGTAAATGCGACTTAGAATTTATCACTTGCTTGCAACCATATGGATTACCTAAGGAAAGTGCCATTTGTACCGAAGTGAAGACAACCAGCAAATGTAAGTTAAATGGCCATCACCTTCAAACTAACATAAGTTTTCGAGAATACTATTCCTATATTATAGTGAAATACAAAATCTATTGCATAGAGGTGACTGACTGTATGATGACTATTGGGATTTATTATTTTTTCATCCAGTCATTGACAATATAACAAAAATTGAGTAAATTTTCAGACTCAACTACAGATAAGGCAGTAAACTTAACTACGAGATCAAGTACTGCTGCAAAAAACGATGCGTCAGTGATATCCACGTAAAGTCCACTTTAAATCATGATCAAGAAAAACTATAACTACAAATCAAATTGATTGTTGCTTGCATTCCTACTTTATACGTACAATAAATTCATTTAGATAATGTTTCTATTAGCAAAAAACTCACGTTTCATTTATGAAGTAGAAATTATCAGTTTCAAAAATTCATTTTTTTGAGGTGAAAATTTTCGGTTTTGACAATAACTATTAACGACAAAAGTTGAAGCTAAAAAAATCAGAAAATACTTGAAATATATATCATTTCACTTGGGTATTCCTAAATTTGGATACCAATTTTACAGCCACCTTTACACTGTCATAAACAGCCAATATGTACTAATTCTTGTTAAACTTAACTCTATCACACAGACGCGTTATTGCGTGACACACTCCGCAAATCTTAACTAAAGTTTAATTTTTTTTCTCAACACATTGATCAGTTCATCGATAACTGCACTGTACCACAAACCAATCAAAGTTTGATTACTTATTTTTTTCATATTACGCATCAATCTTGATAGTCGTAACACTTTTCAAATATAAATGTAAGTAACATGGAGGAAATCTATTTTTCCCTTGACGACTCAAAAACTAATTAAGTGAAAAGAATTTAAATTATGTTGCAGGAAAGTTTTACCATTTAATTTTAAACTATTTCTGATCAGAACTTGTACTGAGGAATCACGTAGTTAGTTACATGTTTAAAACGATATATATATATCCTCCATGTTACTTACATTTATATTTGATATATATATATATATAT